GAGTTAAATATTCATAGTAATTTTTCCTCTACACCAAATAAAATTATTATTTTCTTTAATTTATTATAACTTTTAAAGGCACAAGAAAAACCTCTTTAAATATTTGATAAAAAATAAAGTTTTTTTATTATAAAATATTTCGTATAAAAATTTAACCCATAAACATTTTGCAGAGTTAAATATTCATAGTAATTTTTCCTCTACACCAAATAAAATTATTATTTTCTTTAATTTATTATAACTTTTAAAGGCACAAGAAAAACCTCTGTGAAGTGAAGTATAGCGAAGTCCAAAAAGAGTATATCCTTACATATGATATATTGTTGATATAGTCTTGACTTATTTTATTTATCAATTTATCGCAGCTATGAATAATGAAAATAAATAGTAAGTTAAGACTTTTAGGGATTTTTTGTTGTAACACGAAAGTCAAGCTATTTGGAAATCATATATGATTTGCAATAAAAAGTATAAAATAATAAATATGTTAAGTATATGTACTAATGATTTTCTTTATCAGCTCTGTGTTATAGTTTAAGCATTTTGAATAAAGCTCGTCACCAATCTGTGAATAATTAATTAAAACTGAGAATCTGGCTCGAAATCTATAACTTGCTTTTAAAACTAATAATAATAGTAGTGAGGATTATAGTAATACAATTATTATTATGATACTGATAAAAGTAATACTGAGATATCGACAATATTAATAATAATGCAGTACGGGTAATCAGGGAAACATTCTGTCTCTCGTGAATTACCAAGTAGAAATCTCCAAAAAGGGAACCATTACACCATCTCATTATAATAATAATAATGATAATGATAATAAAATATCAAAATTCAAAATGCATTTATCTATCTATCGAACGTCTCTATGCATCTTCGCCTCTCTTCCCATTACCATTCCCCGTTGACTTTCTCATCACTTGTCACATTCTCGACTACATTAATTAAGAGCCATTTTATGAATGTTGCCGGCCATATGCAACTGGCACGCAGTTTTGTAAAGTTTGTGGTAATAAAAGCCATTTTGGTTTCTCTGCGGGCCACGGTGGGTGTGGCCTGTGGCAGATGCAGCATCTGCTCTGCTCCATTTGCAGTCTATTGGCTGGTGGTGCGAGGCGCCTCAAAAGTCGCATACATTTGTTTTCCAACTCATTTTGCCTGAACACAGCAGCAACAGCAAAAACCAGTCCAGACCGGGCCAAGATGCCAAGGCAGMAGAAGAAGAGGCGAGAGCGAAGAGCTGGCCCTCAGTGGCTGCTGTTGTTGTTGTTGCTCTGGTTGTTGTTGGCTTGACTGTGGTGGTGCCAAGGCGACTGCGGCCCAGGTGTGATGTACTGGAATAACTTAACGACGCAGTCGCTACGCATACATATGCATGAGCATGTGCGTGCGTGTGTGCGTGCGTGCGCGTGTGTATGTAGATGCTTGTTGTTGACCAATAAGCATAAACAGCCACAGCATCCGGCTTGGGCAACCGCCATCTTAGCGCGTTTAGCCCGCTGCTTTAATGAACCAACAACAACAACATCAAGAGCAACAACAACAACAACTGGTAAAGGTAAACGCAGCTACCTGTGGCAACCGCTCGACTCGACTTGTCTCATTGCGAACGAATGAGAGGCCACCAGAGAGATGCGAGAGCTGCGAGTGCCAGATCCGGCCGAGGCCCTAAGACTTGCTGCTCAGCTCAGACTCATATGCTAAGACTCACATATGAGAGTCTTTGTGGTATGCATATAAAGATTCCTGCTCTCGAACATAATTAAACTAATGAAGCAAGGCGTCATTGGTGGTGCGGCTGCTGTTGCTGGTGTTGGTGCTGTGGCTGCTCTCTGCTGGGCCCGAGAGCATCCAAGCCGAAGCCGAAACACGCCTGCGAATCAGTTCGGCTAATGAGGTTTACAGCCGTCGCCAAAGAAATAACGCGAGACCCAGTTCTCACACACAAAAGCCATTTAAAGAGAATGAAAAAAAAAAAAAAAAATACTATATACATATATATAAAGTGAGACCCATGAAAAATGTACTGAAATGTAATGGATTTTATCACGCACATAACAAACTCCCTCGCAGCGCTTGGCTGGTTGAGAATTAGCTATATGAATAGGTATATATACATATAAGTGTCGATATGTAGAGCATTTTTAAATATGGTACTTGGAAAATTTGAGATCAATTGTATTGGAAAATAAAAAAAAATAATAATAAGAATTAGTAATTAAATAAAATTAATATTGAAGCATTTACAGATGATCTGAATCTTGTGTTTTGTCTAAGAAGATGAATAATAATACTACTAATACGAAATAATAAGTAACACCCTAACAAGAAATACCACCCTAATACATATATCTCAATCATCCCTTCTTTAAACAAACAAAGGTATATAAATAATACATTTTAATGCGATATAATAATATCAGTCAATACTTGTAATTTTTTATTAGTAATATGTCAAACATATTTTTTGCATATTTAATAAATGGTTTAACGAGAAAATGATAAAAGGACTGCACTATTAGGCCTAAGACCGATTAAATTTGTCTATAATATTATTTATAAATTAGGTAATGAACTTTTTTATATATTTTTTTATTTACAATCCGTTTTTAGTAATTTCTTATTATTTTATGCATTTATTTATATATAAAGTTTTTTTCATAAATAAATTTTTAATTTATAATGTCTCATTCACATTTTCCTTTCAATCTTCCGATTGTTTCTAATTATAATTAATTATTTATTTGTGAAAGTGAAATATAAAGAAAATGCTTTTAACACAGAATTTATTATATCTAGTTGAGCTACAATTGATACAGAAATAATTATATGGGGGAAGTGTGCATAAACTAATTAATTAACTAGTTGGCTGGTTAGCTGAAACAATTAACTTGTCGACGCTTGATTTATATGCCTATTAACGAAGAATTATTATTATGATTTTTTCTCCTACTCTGGGTAGTCAAGTTTGAAAGGAAAAATAAATCTTTTAGCACCCAATTTGTTCAACAACTAATCTTGGGCAGGGATAATAAAATTATTTATCCGAAACGAAACGAAACGGAACTGCTTTATAGATAGTTAAAATTAGTTAGAGGTAATAAAATGGAATTGAATAGTTTTTTGTTTGTTGTTTTCTTTCTTTCCGAAAATGCAAATCAATTGAATTGAAAAAGTTGTTGAAATTGATGTGTCTACCCAAAAGGTAGATTGATTTATAGAGCACACATCAAAGACGAACGCAAACCCATCAAAAAGCCCCTAAGAAAACAGCAACAACAAAAATGTGACAAAATATGTGACAGAGCAGCGCAAAATATTTGCGATTTCCAAAGAAGACTTCAAGAGGTTTTTTTTTTTCTAATATATAAAGCATAATATATATATAACGAAATCTGAACCGGATGCTTGGTAAGGTTAGTTAAATGTTTGAAGCCTAATGCTATGTTAATATCATGCATAGCTATCAGAGAGCTTAGATCAAAACTAAATCATTTTAATGAGCGAAACGGCATGTTGACCTCTCCACGAGACTTCAAAACTACAAAAAAAAAGTAGTTTTTTTCTCATTTTTATATTTCTATCATATATATTTCTTTAAGGTTTTTTCTCATACTTTCTTGCTGACCAGCTAGCTGTGAGGCGCTGCTGTTGCTCTCTTGGTTTACTTTCCACTTGACCAACTCCGAGGCGGCGGGGTTCTATTCTAACTAACTAACTAACTAACTATTTACATATTCACACAGAACGCACACAGTGAAACGGAGCAGCGGACATACGCATACAAGTGCAAGTGACTGTCTCGGGGGCTGTCTTTAAACTCTTAAAAAAACTAAAAAAAATAGGTAAGAAAAAAACAAACTAAAATCAAATCTAAGCAAAGTTTTGTTGTATACAACTATATAAGGTATACATAGCTCCTATATATCCCCTCTATCTCTCTATCTCTCGCTCTCCTGCGCCAGTTGTCGTGCTTGTGACTAAGATTTGAACTCCCCCTCTCTCTCTGTATATAGTATATATATTTGGGAGAGCCACAGCGGACTTAGAGTAGACATATCTAGAGAATTTCTTCACAACTACCAGCGCAGTTTTTCCATTTTTCATTATGGTTATTATCTTGAAAGATATGTATCTTCGCTACGGTTGGATATAATTAAACAGCGAGAAAAAAATGCATGTATATATATGTGTGTGTGTAGCTGTAGCTGCTGTAGTGGTTGTTGTTTTTATAGCATGGGAAAAATGTAAATATTACTTGTAATTTGTTAGCAGATGATGTGGATGTTCGTGATCATATGAGGGTTCCATTTTAGACGGCAACAGCAACGGCTACGTTTCGTGGTAACGGTGACTGCGATGACGACGACGACGGCGACGACGACGATGGTTGCAGGTTGTTGTTGTCGTTGTTGTTGTTGTTGTTCTGATTGTTGTAGTTGTTGGTGGTTTGGGCTTTGCTTTAGCTTTAGCAGGGCCAGCAGCATTTTGCTTAATGTTGCATTATTCCGTTAGTTTTTTTCTTTCCCTAAGCGACTGCTGGCCGTGGTAACCCAACAACCAACCATAAATTTGCGCATTCGTTGTTGTTGTTGTTGCTGTTGTTGGCATGTGTGAATTTGTGTCTATTTGTTGTGCGGGTGTATGTGTTATATATATGTATGTGTGTGTATGTGTTATGTGTATTGCTTTAATTTGTGCTAGTTTAGGCCCTAACCCACATTAAGCACTCCACACACTTGAGAATTTTGCAATCAGATTTTACTTTTGTTGCTTCTTGGCTTTTAATCTAGCACTTTTATAGCCAGATCGTACACTTTTTTTGGCCACTCTTTAGCACTTTGCATATATTTTTATTCTTACAGATTACACTGAAATTCTATTTGGATTTCTTGTATATCTTTTTGTGTATTTTGTGAACTGTTTTTACCGCTGGCTTGTATTAACCGTCTAAGCCAAGATCAAGAGGTTGGCTTATAAACGCGTTTACGATCACGAAATGTCTTGCGACGACTAATGAACGTATCTGGTGCTTAAAATCAAGGGCTTCAACATTTCACAAAAAAACAAATACGAAACTGAGAGCAAGTTGTTGTTGTTGTTGTTGTTGCTGCTGTTGTTGTTGTTGTTGTTGTTGGCGCACAAGTTTACAATACACTTGGGAAAAATGCACAGCACAAACGCATTTGGCATATAACCGGGCCTATATATACTATTATAGCTGATATATACAGATACAGATGCACGCCGCTCTATGTAGATATACATACATATATTATAAGCGCAACGCAGCTGCTGCCGGAGCCTACGTTGCGAGCCCAAAAGTCAGAGTCAGAGATACATGAACCACGCCGATGACGAACCGCTAGCCAACTGCCAACTGCCAAGTTCCAACTGGCAACCAGGCAACAAGCTGGCGAAACTTTGGCTTGAACCCCGCTTACTCACTCTCTCTCTCTCTCACAGACATACACACACGCACACACACACTCACACTGAGAGACTCTCTGTGAACGGAACTGAGATCTCGAGCCGAGTCGCAGTCGAATGCATAAGGCCAAAAAGCGCACGAGCAAAACCTTTTGCGCAGTCTTGGCCCAGCTCGAAGCTGAGCAGCTTCGACCCCAGAGAGCAACAGCAGCGGCAGCAGCAGCAGCAGGCAGCGACTGCGGCACTGGCAGTGGCACTGTCAGCTGCCCAGCTAAGCGGAACGAAGCGAACGACGCAGTCTCATTCTGGGGCAAGTGTGCCTCAGCTTCAGCCACAGTCACAGACGCAGACGCAGCCGCAGCCGCAGCCCGAGACCGAGCTCGAGCTCGAGCTCGAACTCAGGCCGAGCAACAGGCGTGCGGCAAGTTCTTTTGAATCAAATGAAACAGACTTATTTAATATTCCTGCTCGTCGCTTTGCGAGTATTTTAAAACGTCTCCGAGCAGAGAGCTTCCTCTCCCGCTCAGCCTCGCCCTCTCTCTCTCTCCCGCCCTCTCCCTTTTCAGCTACGATCGTTTGTCAGAGCTCTGGGCAGTTTGTCGCATACAACGAAAGCACGAAAACCTGTTCTCGGCATTTAATGTGTTGTGGGAGAGACGACTTTGCATTTGGTTTGTTTCAATTGGTGGAGGCCCCCAAACGTGCGCATGTGTGTGTGCATTGGTGTGTATACCAGCCCCATACTTACACATGCTCGTAAAGACACACACACAGACACTCATAGATCAGCGTATGCAAATATTGTAAAATGCGGCTGCTTTGTAGCCAATTTAAATTTATATGAAGTTATCAGCGAATCTGAGAATTTTAAAACATTTGATAAAAGTGTTGAGAATTTTGTTTTATAATTAAATAACAAGAAATTTAATAATAAAAATTTTAGTATTTGAATAATATAA